AGCTTATGGAGACCAGCCATAGAGGCACAGCAGTAACACAACACAATGCTGAGGCCACATGGGCAGGTCCCATGTTCACATCCCAAGGTCTCCTATAAATGCTGGGTATTGCATGCCCGTGCCTGTAATCCTCACTGGCTGAGGCTGGGTGGGGGGGATTGTAATGTGAGGACCTCTTGGGAATTCTTCCTACCTCTCTCTCTTTCAAAAGAAATGGATAATAAATTAAAGACAAAAAAGCTAATGAAGTCATCCACACGTATAAGGTCTGTCGTGGCCATTGATGAAAACATCACAGCACTTAGCTTTTGCTAGAACTTCTGATTTCTTACTCTAACCATAGTGGAGTGATTAAATGAAGAACTCTTGATGTCCAGGCTTTTAGAACACAAGTACAATTATAAAAATTTGGTAGTCAGAATATAAAATACAGGTTAACCCTTCTCTTCCCTTTGCCCCTAAACCCTTTTCTATTCCCATTGCTCAAATCCCAGAATGGGGCGTTGCATGTTTATGAACCCCTATAGTACAGAGATTTGTGGGTGTTATGCAATCAAGTTCATCTCTGACAGATGACCTTGGTGCCTGGCTTGTGTCAGGCTTATAGAGTTATCTTTCTGGGAAGATGTTAAGGAGCAAGTGCAGAACTTAACAGGGTTGTCCTCTGAAATTTACATCAAGTCGTTCAGCCTCAGCTATGAGCTATATATAGCTTACGAGGACTTCAGGAACATAGCAGTTCTTGTTCTTTTTCATGGGAGAAAATTTGATAGGAAAAACCTGGATGTATTCAGAATCTGGTTCAGTCTATAGGCAGATAATAACTCAAAAACTGAGGTTGGCAGGTGGCGTGGTGGTTAAGGCACTGGACTTTCACATGGCCAACCACGGCTCAACCTGAACCCGGGGGCTTGTTTTCTCACTTTCCTTCTCTCTCTCTGTGTCTCTTTAGTCAAATTAAAAAAATAATAATAATAAATAAATTTAAATAAAATAATCCTTAAAAAAACTAAAAAAACAATGAACAGGGCTGCAATCTAATAACAGATATACTATAGTTTTTCTACTTAAACATAATTTTGCTTCCTTACAGTAACCCACATTTCCACTCAAAATAACCGGGATAAGACTAGTTTATTTGTGAAATAAGTATAAATTCTTTAAACAAGGTGTGATTGTTGGGCCAGCTCTGTAGCTGAGTGGTTAAGAGAGCTGGACTGCCAGAGGATATGTGCTCTTGGAGAGACAGAAAAGACAGGGAGAAAGCACTCACTCCCCAGAGGGGCAAGGACATACTGCAATCCTTTCTCCTTCCTTTACCCATCCTGTCAGGCCTCTGAGCATGCATTCACATGCACCTGGAGTGTTTGTCAAGCTGTTGGGGCTGAGGTTTGTACTGCATGGTGCCAGGACCTGCTGGGCAGAATGTGATTGGCCGCTCTCCACCATGTGGTAGGCCACCTGGGACCTAGCTCCTTTAACCACAGTGCAATGGGGCTGGCCCAAGAGAGTAGATTTTTATTATACTTATGGAGATAATTATATTACCATAAAAATAAAAATACTCATGAATAGTTTACACGTTCTGTACAGGTCAGGTAAGAAGAAAAAGTAAATGTCTCAATTTTAGTTCACAACTGTATAATTTACCAAATTGATGTAAGTTATATATTGCTTAAAAGAAAATAATGCTCCTTATATCTGGAAAAATAAAACATTAAAAGAGGCACCAAAATTTGGGGCCAGCAGTTAGCATAATGGCTATGTCGCTTCTCCCATGTAGTTGACTGTGGTTCGAGTCCCGGAACCGGCGCCTTAAACTCACGCCGGGCGTGTGTGCGTGCGTGCCCAAGATCCCAAGAGGAGAATGGAGGAGAAAGGATTGCGGCGTGGCCATCTCCCCTGGGGGATGATCTCTCACTTTCTGTCTCTCTGTCTCTCTGGCGAGCGCACACGCCCTATAGCAAAAAACAAAAACAAAAACAAAACAAAAAAACCCCAACACCGCCCCCTGCAAAAAAAAGAGGCACCAGACTTTAATGATTTTCAAGCTGCTGTGTCTGAGCTGCAGCCAGCCTTGTGAAATTCCAGCACCTTCACTACTATGCCACCTGCTGGCTCTGAGAGTCACTTTTCTTAATCAAAAATCTACTATCACGCAGCACAAAGCACTGGTCATTTTCTTTTTTTTCTTTTTTTTTTTGGAGAGATTTTCACTATAGGGCGCGTGCGCTTGCCAGACAGACAGAGACATAGAGACAGAAAGCGAGAAATCACCCCCTAGGGGGGATGGCCACGCCGCAATCCCCTCTCCTCCATTCTCCTCCCGGGATCTTGGGCACGCATGCACACGCGCCCGGTGTGAGTTTTTTAAGCCACCGGGTCCGGGACACGAACCGCGGTCGACTACGTGGGAGTCCAGCGACATAGCCATTACGCTAACTGCTGGTTCCCTCATTTTCTTGATAAAACACAAAATCTCTGTTTTCTAGACCAATTACTTAAAAGAAAACAAAATCCATATTCTTAGATGAATACTCCAAGAAGACTTTGTCATTTTAATATTTTACTTTATCATTCATGTATCCATACTTAAGTGAATGTTTAAATAGTACCTTATAAATAAATCCATCCAATCTTAGCCAGCTTTGATCACATAATGTAAGATTTCCACTACCCTTGTACAATTTCTCCTTTTTTTCCCCTAAAAAAACCACAAACATGTCCTTTGTATTTTTATCAAACACATTTTACTTCTCTTGTAAGCAGGGTTGGTTCTCTTATTATTTTTAGAAATTTTAGTTCTCTGCCTAACTCTCATCTCTCTCCCAAGGGTCAGCCATAGTTTCACCTCTACCAAAAAGACTTTGTAATCTCTGTAGTGAGTACTTATAATTTTATGTTGCCTCAGCATCCATTTCAAAATATATATTTAACTTCCTCAGCCCAGGAACAGGGTTCAATCACCCTTGACACAGTCTTCAATTCTATCAATATATTCTTCCTGAATGGCTCTGGCAGGTGGCCAGAGATAAAAACTTAAGAAGCATTTCTACTGCCTAGCAGGTGGGAACTTCTGCTTTGCTGCTGCTTCCTTTAAATGAACCATGCAGATACTGGCCCATTAACTTAAAGTGACCACCTCAGTAATAGCAACACGAGTTTGCTTTAAACCCACCAGTTAATGCTCTGTGAGGAAAACCTGTTGGGATAATGCCGTGGACCCAGCAGAGGCACTGGTGATGGGTCTCCCCCGCTACTCCCTGACATCAGTATGTGTGGCCTTCAGGGAATACAGGTATCCCAAACTTTTAACTTCCACATTGTGCTCATCCTGTTGAAGCCCAGCTATGAACATGACCCCTGGTGGATCCCTGACACACAGTAGGTGGTGAACTGAGATTTAATGAATGGATGATTGGCAGATTTAGGTGTATATAGGCTGAGGAGAGACAACGGTAAGAGACAATGTCTGTATTAACTATACAGAAGAGAAAATTGGGATGTCATTGACGGAACAACGTCTTTCAGTTTGCCAAAGAGGTTGGGATTCAATGCAAAGTGGAGTGATTAGTATTACAAACGAGAAAGAGGTATGTCCACCTCTCAGATTGGAATGGAAACAGGAGATGAAAGAATTGATACTGTGGGATGCTTCTTTTCTTCTTTCTCCTCCTTGTTTTCTCTAAAGAGGGGTTGGGGTAAGGAGTAGGAACACCAGATAAAAAGGAACAAAGGTCTGAGAACGGCAAAGACTTGTAATGAATATTTTGGGGGAAATGAGAAAGAACCTTGGTCAAGAAAAGGCGAGTAAATTGCCAAGCAGTGGTTAGCAACCAGTTGAAAAATGAGAACTATCTTTGAAGCCCCCTCCTTCCTCCAGACAAACACAGCCTCCAGATTTTAGAATATGAGGGTATTTTAAACAGGTCGACAAAGGGTTGGGGCCTTGCTGTGCAAGGGAGGTATAGAAAGACAGGTGCACTAGGAGAGAGGACATGTCTTAGAAAAAAGGAAGGGCTATGTCTAAGTGTCGCGATGTTACTGTGGGTATTTACAATGACAACTGTGAGTAAGAAGGGAAAGATGCTAGACTGGGGTCACCTCCATCCCTTCACGACTCCCCATAAGGTTGTACAAATATGGAGGGGCGGGGGAAGGTCCAAGCGCTCACGCAATCCAGAAGGTAACGGAACTAGGACACGAGGAGATTTAGTGGAAGGGTCAGGTCGCCGTCGTGGTAATAGAGGAGGTACGATCCCCAGATCTCCGCTCCCAAGGTAGTCCCACGCCGGGATGCAGACCAGAAGCTAAGGCGGCCCTTGCCCTCTCCCAGGACGCGGGGCGAGCCCTGACCCGGAAGCCCCGTCTCCAACCCGGAAGTAGCTGTGCCGCGGAGGCGCCGCCGTGGAGCCACCGCCCCCTCGCCGCTTCGCTGCTGCGCCGGCAGCCTGGACCGCGGCGGCGCCGGGTGGACCTGATGATTCCCGGCGGGCGGCGGCGGCGGGGGGCGAG